CCTCTCCTGTCTCTTGTGTCTCTCTGTTCGCTCTGTGTCCCCACCCCACGCCATCCCACCCAACACACACACACAGACTCAGTCTCCAGGGACCTGACTTTTCAGGACAGTTTCCCCAACTCAGAACTAAGAGGCCAAGCCTCCAGGCATCCCCACTTGCAGGCTCATAGGCTCGAAAGTCACACCTGCCTGGGTTCCAGTCCCACCACTGCGCCCTAGCGAGTGTGCATGGCCCACACCTCCTGTAACACGGCGGGAAACCCACGGCCACCTCAGAGCTCCCGGGAGAACTGAATGAGTTTCAAAGAGGAGTGAAACGCTTACAGGGCCTGGCACACAGTAGGTGCTCAGTAAATGGAATGCCATCGGTACGATCATCATCATCAACACAGTCCTGCCCCGCCCTAGCTCCTCAGCAGGGCGAAGAGGGTCCCGGAGAGCGGAAGACCTGCCCACATCTCCCACCTCCCGCCTCCTACCCATTCTGGGGTCAATCAGATGTTCAGGGCTTTGGGCCTTCAGCTCGCTGAGCCCTGGGGGTTCAAGGTTGTGGAGCTGGGAGACCACCCTGAAGGGCCACTCGTGGAGGGGAACTGAGTTCTCAGTGGGGGCCCTTCGATCTCAGTTTGAACCTCAGCTCTGCCACTACTCTCCCGGTGGGCCTTGGGAAGTTGCTTAGCCTCCTTGTGCCTCAGTTTCCTCAACTGTGATATGGCGCTAACATTAAATATTTCACAGGAGGAGAAAACGAGTTGAATGCATTTGTTAGGCCCTGTGGCCTCTGGAGTACTGCATGGAAGTGAGCTATGGTGAAGCTGAACATCCAGAACGACTGGGGAGGGTAAGAAGGACATAAACTTATCAGGGACAGGCGTGCATCCCCGAGGGTGCTGCGCAGAGTGTGGGGTCGGAAGGACCTGGGTCCAAGTCCTGGACTGACTGCTTTGCAAGAATTAGCTTGGGCAAGTCACTTTGCCTCTCTGAGCCTTCATTTGCTCATCCGTAAAACGGGACCACTCATAATAGCCGCGTTCACTGTACTGACTCCATGTGCACATACATGTTACCATGCTGCTTAGCCCTGCTATTATCACCCCCTCCTTGCAGGGGAAACAGGGGCTCAGAAAAGTGAAGTCACCTGCCCGTGCTAGAGCTGGGGGGCTGGGAGTTGAACCAAGGCAGGCTGGCTTGTCAGGGATGTCAGATTGTCCCACCTTGGCCGCTGTCTTCCTGGGCCTGTGCTCTGGTACTGCCCAATGGAGGGGATCAGAGACCTTCAAGGTTGAGGTTTGAGTTGCTCAGGGACCGGGAGGACCTCGGAGGACACCCAGGAAGGAGCGCCAGGTATAGGTTCCTCCTTTGGCCATAGCAGCAGGTGTCCCCAGGACCTCAGAGAACCCTTGTCACTCATTCATTCATGCTGTTTGTCAGTCACTGGGATGCATAGTAAGGGTAAGAGTGGTGACCTAGACCACAGGGACCCTGTCCTTGAAGAGCTTCTATTTTCATGGCGGGAGATGAAAAACAAAGTAATCATAAGGGACAGGTAAAGGAGAAAGGAAAAGAAGGTAGTTGAAGAGAGTGGCTGGGGTGGAGCCTACTTTTAGATGAGGCAGTCAGGGAGGGCCTCCCTGAGGAGGTGATATTTGAGCAAAAAGAGGAGAAGGAATCAGCCATGGGAAGACCTGGAAAGAGGATTCCAGGCAGAAGAAACAGCATGTGCAAAGGCCCTGAGGAGGGAATCAGCAAAGTGAGTGTAACTGGAGGAAAGCGAGGGCAGTTCCTCAGGAAGATGTCAGGAAACTGGGGCAGCAAGTCTGAATTTTATTCATTGCCCAGGTAGGGCAGAGAGAGACTTGCCCAAGGTCACACAGTGAGCTAAGGGTGGAGATCTGCTGTGGCCTCAAGCACGGGGCACCTGGTGAGACCTGGGACCCAGGACCCACCCTGCCTCTTCCCATTTGCTGTCTTCTCCAGAGCAGTGGCTCCCACTGCAAGTCCTGCTTCAGCACCATCCTTTCCAGCTTCAAACTCCCCCACCGCCCAGGCCTTCATCTGGGGTCCCCCACCCCTCTCCTTCCTGTGCCCAGAGACCACAGGCCTCACTTCTCCCCTCAGGGCGGGTTCAGATCCCTTTTGTTACCTGAACAATAAGTAACCCAGGTAGTTAGTTATAAACTCCGCAGGAACAAGGAGCTGGTTGATAATTTATAGCAACATCTCAAATTTAAATGGAAAGTAAATAGCATGCTGTTAGCATTAAAGAAAACCCAATCGGGGCAGGCGGGGAGCACTCCAGCCTCCTCTCAGCTTGGGGCACCGCACTCTCTCCCCAGCCCCTTCTCCAAGCTGGGTGTGAGCCCCTCTTTCCTCCCTCTCCTCAGCTCAACTCTGCTTCTCCAGGCCTCTCTCCATCTCCCCTGAAGCCTTCTCTCTTCCTCCATGTCTTCCCCTCTCTCCCTCAGCTTCCAGACCTCTGCTGGTCCCCAGGGAGCACTTTGACCTCTGCTCCCCCCTCAAGTGCTGTGGATCAAGCCTCCCCCACCCACCATCCCACCAAAGGGGCTGCTGAGCAAGAGGCCCCACCCAGCCAGGTAAGAAAGGCCCTTGGCACCCCCGGTCTCCCACTTCCACCTGAAAGCCCCCATTCCTGTCTGGGGTCCTGAGCAGGTGTGGCCCAGCCCCAGTCCTAGTCGCCCTCACCCTGGGTCTGCCGGGCCTGCCTCTTTGCCCCTCCCCTGCAGCCCAGCGGGGCCCTTTGCCCTCCACTTCCTGCCAAGTCAGGGGGCCTATCTGCTCCCTTGCCCCCTGCCTAGGCCCTCAGGAGGCCTGGCAGACCCTGAGGATTCCCCAGGCGGGGAATCCAACCCTCCCCCACCCAAGCTGGGATCAGGACCTTGGACAGAAAAGGGATGGTCCCCTGGGGAGTGTCTCTGGGACTCTTTCTTAGAGCCCCTACTCACCCCTAGCTGGCCCCTGGCCCCCAGTCCTGGTGATTAAGAGCACTAAACAGAGTGGGTGTGAAGTCCCAGCTGGGTGGCCTTAATCAAGCTACTTTCCTTCTCTGGGCCTGTTTCCTCATCTGTGAAGCAGACTTACCCTTAGCTTTCTCCTAGGATTCATCTCAACATTATCAAATTTTTACGTGTGAACCTCAGCCTAGTGCCCAGCTCTTAGGATGGAGGTTAAAGAGGCTTTGGGAACTGGCAGTCCTTGCAGCCCCTAGCCCCCCTTTCCCCACTCC